CATCCACAGTCACTACAGGCAGTGCTTATTCTGCGGGGTTTACAACGTCCACAGACTTGACTTACCACAGCTTAGCGAAGAACAACTGTCTCCTAGTAACATGCTTCAATTTTCAGTGAGCACGATATATTAACTAATATACTTCTATAAAATATAAACTTTGTTGCTAGCTCTAAGGTCTACAAATTACTATATAAAAACAGGCGCACATCACCATTAGTAATCAATTGTATCACTTGTATTTTTTTAATTAAATTGTTTTTCACTTGTTTTAAAGTCTGTTGATCAATCTCTGTCTATCTGTCTGTCTGTCTTTGTGTCTTTCAAGAGAGTCTAACTGTAATTCAGGCTGGTATTGAACACACTACGTAGCCTGGACTGGCCTCAAACTGCTCAGCCATCCTTCTGCCTCAGCCTTGACGTGCTGGGATTATAAGCAGTAATTTATTTATTGTGGTAGTGAGAACTGAATCCAGGGCTTTGTAATTGCTAAGAAAATTCTCTACCACTGAACTCTATCCTAGTCATTATTTTATATTTTTGGTTTTGAGACAGTCTAAGTTGCCCAGGTTGGCCTTGATTGCCTTAGTCTTCTGAGTAGCTATAAGTATGCACCACGGCACTGACTTGGTGTTTAGTGTTTGCATTCCTGCTCCTGCACGGTCAGCAAAGCATTTGGTTGTGTTGGTTTCTTGTCCTCAGTGATAACCCCCATGGTACTTCATAAAAATAGTTTTAAAAAAGAGCTCTCTCTCAAAGACTCACACTTTATTTCCTTGAGGTTATACTGTTAAATTCCTGCCTTTTTACTAAAAAATAAAAAAAGAATTGGCTAACGATGATGCAAGTGCAGCCAAGAAGTGAAAAATGGTAACATTAGAAGTGCAATGAATGTGACTGGAAGATTTAAAAATGCCAGCAGCAAAGCAAAGTTAGAATGAGATCAAAAACTGAATGAGGCCACAATGCAAGTCACACTGAAAAATCTGATGCATATAAAACGGAGCTAAAAGCCAGGCCCAATGGTGCATACCTGCCTCATGAGGCTGAGACAGGAGGATCACAACTTCGAGCCCAATCTGAGCAACTTAGCAAGACTGTCTCAAAATAAAAAATGAAAAGTATTGGGATTTACCATGTTTCTATTTGAATTACTTTAGACATAGAAAGCTGTTTATGATTGAAATGGAGTATTTGTTTCTCCTCTGGATTACATTCAGTGTGGCAGTAATTTTGACTTCATTGGGTAAATAACTTTGCAGGATTTAAACCCAAAATTAGTGGAGTTAAAATAGGGTGACAGGGTCAAGGACACCCAGGGAAAGAAATACTCCCAGGGGCAGCAGATGCCCAATACAGCGATACCATTACTATACACAGATTCAATCAGAAAAGTGCTATTTTAGACCAATCAGAAATTTGCTACTTTCAGTCCTTCATTTGAATCTGGTACTGTTCACATGACCAGTCTGAAGATGCTCTTTTCAAGCCTTCGTTTGCCTATGGGCACAGCCAATCAAAAGACACCATTTCTGATCATTTACATGTAGTAGGAAGCCAAATTTTTTGATTGGACAGTTTTTACAAGATCTGTTGCCACCAAGTCAGTGTTTGATCCTATGACTTTTCCAATGCCTTATTTGCATGCAAAGGGAGATAACCCAGGAGTTTTGGCTAAAAAAGAGCCTTTTTCCTTTAGAGCCACTGTGAACCTCAGCACTGGCCGGCTTTCACTCAGCTGAGTACACTTCTTATCTGACTCTCATAAAGGTACACTTTAACTCCCTTTTCTACACATTTTATCCAATTTGTTTAGGACACCAACAAATCTGGAAAGGAACCCTTTCTATGTGCTGGACCCTGCGCTAAGCCCTTTGCAATCAGTCGGGTACGACTGTCATGATTTCATAGTGAAGAAGTAGGGGTCTAGCTGGGCTAAGACATCTATTCAAGGTGACTTCAAGGAGAAGTGACACAGTATGAGTTTGAATCCATGTGTGACTGCAGGGTCTTTGCTCTACGCCTGTGATAGTCAGTGAACACCGTGGAGCTGTGGGGAAGCCTGTGCTGCAGTACCAACTCCTGCTCCTCCTCACCAGCAGCCAGCTGTGCATCCCCCACATGCCCCACATCCTTGCCCCACAGTGCACGACCCTGCTTCGTCCTGCACTGGCAGCAGCCTGGCTATGTCCCAGTGAGTCCCACCTGCCTGCTCACCGTGCACTGGGGAGGCCCCAGGACCCTCCCGGCAGCCAGAGAGGCAGGCCTAGCAGAGACTGTGGTCACCTGTGAGGTTACTGAGCCTCCGAAGTCCTCAAGAATAAGCGGTCAGTAGTAGTCTGGGCTCTAAGGCACAAGACAGAGTACCGGTTGCCCTCTGTCCTCTCCACAGTCACCTCCAGCTGAATGTGTAGGCTGTGGCCTCCCAGAAAGGCCTCTGTAAGTAAACTGATCTTTTTGGGTTTGTGTTTCTTTCAGGTCCCAGTGAGAAGCCTGCAAGGCGGTCTGCAGAGCCCTATGTACTGGGAAGGGGACCGTAGGGCGGGACTGGACCTAGGGGCTCCTGCTTGCCAAGTCCTGAGCCTAGAACTGTTGTGCTGGCCCTCGAGAGAGGTGACCTCTTGAGGAATGCCTTGTGGCTGCTTCCCACCGGAGGCTCCTGACTCTGGGGCACCCTGGGACTGGCGGAGGAGCCAGATATCTGCTTTCTGGAGGCTGGGGAGGTTGGCTCGTCTTCTTACAGTCTTAAGTCCCTTTTCCAGAGAATTTTGGAGCAGTGCTTTTCTTTTTATTTTTGGTTCTTTCAATACATTTGTAAAATTAATGATTTTATTGATGCAATTTAAATATACATATTGATCACATTTGTCATAGGAAATATTTTATTTGTACATGATACATCGTGGTCCATCTTTTTTTCCCATTCACCTCCTCCTTCTTGTTTACAAATCTCTATTTCTATTTTATCCTTCTTTTTCTTTTCCCTTTCTCCTTTTTCCCTTTGAGCAATTTCCACAGTGGTTGTATTATAGACAGCTAAGTTAGGTAAAAATATTGCAGGCAGACATAGGGCCAGGCCCGGAGCAGTCAAGGCAGAAGACGGCTGTGGCTGGAGGGGCGTTCCCTGAAGGCCAGGCTTCAGGAGAAAGAACTCCTCGCTCACACTTCCCTAGGGATGAACAGTGAGACTGATACTCTAAAGAGACATCAGTGCCCTTGGGGTGGACAACCAAACCCCCTTAACCCACCCTGTGGGCAGCCTTGTGCACTTGCTGCAGGATTTGTTTCTCTGTTTGACCCCCCATTTAATCAGTACTACCCTAGTGCCTACACTTGTAACCTTATTGGTCCACCATAGTCTTTGCCATCTCACATTCACCCTATGATTTGCCATTGGATAAATATTACCTAAGCAACTATACTTGTAACCTTGAACCCGCCTCAGCTCCTAGCTTTACTCAATAAGCACCCTTGAGAAGCGGGGTTGATGGGTGAACCACTTTCCTGGTCCCCTTTTCTGTTCCTCTCAGACAAAAGTTTTCTCTCTCTCAATAAATTCTTGCTACTCTTGACCTCTGTTGTTCCTAGAATTCCTTGATTTTAGAAAACACAAATGGCATTTGGGGCATCTAGCAGGTTGGGAGTTTCACTCCCCTTCATCAGGTGTGCCGCTCTGTATTGTGGAGCATTGCTTTTCTAAGACTTTTCTTCATAGGTTTCTGTCCCTCTACCCTCCCTGTGTTCTAGGGTCTGGGAGCAGGGCACTGACCAAAGCAAACATGCCTATTTTTGCAGAATTTATATTTTAATGAGAGAGACTGATGGTAGCAATTAAGGGCATAACTGAGTTCTCTGAATGGTCTCAGGTTTGGAGCTTTTGCTTCTGCACCAACTTCTGACTCTCTAAGAAGAGGCTGGTGCCAGAAAGGGGGTAGGAGGGGTGTTGTCCTGCTTTGAAGAAAGTTGGAGTCCTGGCCTGATTTCTCTTGGAAGGTTGAGAGAAACTGACATAGGGGAAAGAAACTCCCAACCTGGAGACTTCCAGGAAGGCGGTGGAGAAAACAGCCTCTCTGAGAGTCACTGTCCAGATGCTGGACATCATGAGGAAGACAAGAAGGAAGGAAGTGGGTCCCCTGAACCCAGGAAGAATCTAAAGTGCAAATTAAAGCCCACAGAGAGTGAAAAGAAAAACTTCAAGGAAGATGAAAGTGGTAGCCAAAGGCACCTTCACCCTGAGATGGGACTTTCTGAGCCAGAGGAGCTGTTTGAACGAGATGCACGGTTATGGTGACAGTGATGGCTGGCGGCCCCAGAAGCCTCTCCGGAGAGAGCTGGTATGTTGGCAGTCATGGTGGACTGCACTGGCTGCTGCTGAGTGCAGGGGACTTGGTCCTCCTGCAGGGAGAGAGTGATTAGCTGGGAGCTACTTTGGAGACCTGCTGGATAAGCCCAGAACCCAGAACTGCTGCCAGGTTTGGCTAGCAACTCCCAGCTGGGCGCAGACCCACATCAATTGCTTGGACTGGGGTGAGTCCAGTAAGTCTGGTCTCAGGGCAGGTCTGCTGAGATTACCCGCTGCTCTGCCATAAAGCAGCTGCTGGCTTGCTGGGACAGACTGGCAGGATTCAGGATTCTGTTTCCACAGGTTGCCTACTAGTGAAAACAGAATGCTGAAAAGGAACTGTTCGTTTTTCTTTTTTCCCTCTTACTCCTTGATTGTTTTTATGTGAGTATAAAATTGGTTCTTAACTTCTTTGTGGGTATGAGGGCTTCACACTGAGTGAAGTTGCCTGAACTGGGTTTGAGTTTGGAAGCCTACCTCAGCTTCCCAGAGTGCTAGGATTACAGGCATGTGCCACCATGCCTGGGTGAGTGGTTAATTTTACCTATCATTTAACTGGGCTGAGAGATTTCTGGGAAGCTGGTGAAGTGTTACTTCTGGGTGTGTCTGCAGGGTGTTTCAGGAAGGGATTAGCAATGAATCAGAAGACAATTCAAAGAGCCTGCCCACCTGAGGCACTGAGGGCCGTGTGCAGTCTGCTGAGGGAAGAAACCACCACAAGGCAAAGGATGGTGAAATTTGCTCCTGCCTTCACCTGACATCCTTTTCTGTCCTTGGACAAGGAACCCCCATTCTCAGGCCTTGGAGTGAATTATAACACAGGCTTTTTTGGCCTCAGGACTTGATCTTCACTGCCATGTAAGTAATTTCTCCTGATCCATCTTACTTAGGTATCTCTGTACATCTGGAGACTCCATTTCTCTCTGGAGAATGTAGACAAATACAAGACAGGTAGTTCCTCACAGACATGGAAGAAGAATCCCTTCCTAGGCTGGCTGGGTAGTTGTATGCTATGGCCTTGCTGAAGGGCCAGGGGCAGAGCTGGCCCTGTGGGACCTTTTCCTCATTCAGGCCACCAGGTCAGCCCAGACACTTGCACAAGCTTGCTCATCCCGGTGACTTCCAGGCATCTAGTCTCACAGCCTTTTCTCCCAGGCTTAGCAAGGTAGAGTCCCTCGCCTGAGGCCAAGCCTCCTGAGGTATGCCTGAGCCAAGATTCAAACCCAGGTCTCCTGACTCAAAAGCCAAGGCTTACATGAACATGAGGTGACCTCTGCACCCAACACAGAGGGAGGGACCTGTTGCTTGGGTGGAACTGGGCCTTGTCTTTGGAGGCAGAAGTCACTAACATTTCTTTTGTAGTAGACAGGCCTGATGGACTGGGTGTCCTTGGCTCCATGCACTTTCTTATTGCATGCATCTGGAGAGATGCTGGGATACAGGCCGCAGTGGCAAGGAATTAATGGGCTTGGAACAGGTCTCACCTCCCCCGAGTACTGGGCCTTTGCACTGAACTACATCCTCAGCCCCTGCCCCCTTTTAAAATTTAGAGACAGGGTCTTGCTAAATTGCTAAGTTGCCCAGGCTTGTCTTGAACTTGTGATCCTCTTGCCTCAGTCTCCCAATGCTGAGATTACAGTGCCACCACACCATGGAAACAGATCTTTAGGAGAAAAGTGGCAACCTAGGTTATGCCACCAGCTAACCCAAAACATCTGGACAGGCAGTATTTTAGCCACAAGCTCTCTAGTTTATATGGCCACTCAAGGGACACTTGGGACTTGTCTTTTAGGACACATTCTCCTGACAATTCACTGTCACACACATATCTGAGGCTCCTTTCCCAAGGGTGGGGAGCCGTAGAGTTTTACCTCTTTTCCTGAGTAGACTGAGATATTAGTGAGGTCAAGATTGAGGTGGACTCAAGAGAGGACCAGCTATTTCTGACAGCCAAAATCACTTGATATAGGGAAGATGCAAGGGATAATTTTGGAAATCTTGATAGACATTTTGTAAAATACCAAGAGAACTCAGTGGAAAAAATTGCATTTATACTCTCCATGGACACCTCTGGTAATTTGCAAAGCAGTTGCAGAAAAACCGAAGTTTTTCAAAAGTTCTCCATCAGTATATTCATTTCCACATTTAAAAGGCTGAAGAATGTGCATTGTATCAATATACCTGCTGTGATATTAGCTTTTCTAAGAGGAAAGTGTCCCAATTTTATTTTTCAAATATCTTTTACAAATGAGGACAGGCAGGCGAGGTGATCCGTAAAGGTAGATATATTGCCTTTCTAAAATAGTTTGCAGAGCCAAAAGTTTGGAGGCCTCTATCAGGAAAAACAGGTTTTACTCCCAAGACCCCCTTATTGGGGAACTGAGAAGGTTGCTGTGTGTTTGTTTACAACTGGTTTTAATGGAGACAGGCTCTGTCATCTTTTGCTGTGGGTAAGGCTCTGGGTTGTATGTGTGTGACCTCATGGTTCCTTGGTATAAGGAAATCCCAGTTTTTTCTTCTTTGTTTTGGTGGTGCTTGCGATCAAACTTAAGGTCTCTTGCATGCTAGATACTTAGGCAAGTGCTCTGCTAATGAGCTCTCTACCTGGCCCCTTCCTCCCTCCTTCCTGTTCTCTCTCTCTCTTTTTTGATCTGTTCATCCATCCATCCATCCATCCATTGGCCCATCCATCCATCCATCCATCCATCCATCCATCTGTCTATCCATCCATCCATCCATCCATCCATCCATCCATCCATCCATCCATCCATCCGTCTATCCATCCATCCATCCATCCATCCATCCATCCATCCATCCATCTATCCATCCATCCATCCATCTTTTTTTCTTTCTGCAGTCCTGGAAATAGAACGTAGGGCCTTCACACTGAACTATAATCACACTGAGTTACATCCCAAGTCCTTTTCTTGTTTTTTGTTTTGAGGCAGGGTTTGCTATGTCACTAAATTGCCCAGGCTGGGCTTGAACTTGCAACTCTCACGCTTCTAGAAACAGTGCTGAGATTATAAGAATGCACCACCATACCTGGCTCCAGTCCTTTCTTTTAAAATAGGGAATGCTTATATACACATATGAGAAAAAAATCCTGAGAAAAACACACCAAATGTGGATGGTTAACTCTAGGTCTTTTTAATTTTTTCCATACCAAATGCAATTTTTAGAATTTCCACAAAGCAAATATGTCCCTTTCATAAGGAGAAAAGTAAAAATGTTGCAAAGACTTCTCTTGGTAAAAAAATAACATCTATATAACACTCTGATTTTGAAAGTTCTTTCTACCACATTCCAATTTAATCCTCCTAGTGTTGCATGCCAGTGTTTATTTCCTTGTCAGTTTGAGAAGACAACTCTCAGGAGATTTAGAAATCGTCTCAAGGACATGCAGCAATGAATGGCTGAGCAGGAAGTGCGCCGTCTTCTCGCCATAGATTTCACCATCAGGTGGGCTGGGAGGAAAGTCGGGGTGCAGCGAAAACTGCCAGTCTTAGGAAAGGTGGAGGCCTGGCAGCAGCTGACTGACAGAGGTCATCACAGTGTTTTGTGGTCTCTTTGGAGAGACATCCAGCATGTGCTCCGGAGGTTGGTTCTCTGGGGCTCTTGGCTCTCCTGTGTTCTTGGAGACAGTTGGGAACTGTTCCCCCAGGTCAGGTAGGATCTCCAGGGCTCCTTTTCTCTCTCTGGGGCTGAGGCAGGGCCTTCTTCCTTGTGAGTTGTGCAAAGTGCCCAGGGCTGGTCAGCTCCTCACAATCAGAAACTCTCAGGGTGCTTCCAGGAGGCCGGAAGTGCCTCTGTCTGGATGGGCTTGCACTGAGGCTGGCCGGTGAGCCAGCCTGTGGGGTTGGGACTGGAGGTAGAAACCGGATGTCAGAAGGAGATATCTTGATGTCCTGCACAGTCCCTCTTTCTTCAGTTGGTTAGACACAAAAAGACCACAAAGCAGGAAGAGTTGAAAGTGACCAGCGCCACCCAAGCATAGTTTTGAAGGGGCTTTTGGCGGGCATTTGCCATTTCTCATTTGGAGTTTGCCTTGCTGTAGATGGCTGATGTACCCCTGCTAATGGGAATGTACCATCTGGGAACACTCTGGAGTGCAGTTGGTTTGGAAGGAAGATGAAAAAGTGTCATTTTTCTGGAGCAAGAAGTGGTGTGGGGGTCCTACAGCTTGTGAAAGACCAATTGTAAAAATTTCAAGAATATTTGGAATCATCATGTTGGTCACTTGAAATTGGTCATTATGGGTCATTTGCCCCATGGTCATTGGAGGCACTACATGCCCCTGCAAGGGAGCGGTTATTAAGCAATTATCTACATACCCTGAGAAAAGAGCATGGCTGACCTCATGGTTTAGGGTCATTGTGGCCCTCTGAGGAGGAGGATGACAGCGTCTGACTCTGTTCTCCTCACCTAGCAATGCTGAATGGATAGTTTTACTCCAGAATGTATTGTAAAATGACAGCTAGGTCACCCTCTCTGTGGCTTTCTCTGCCTTCCTTCTCTAGACTGAGATCAACAGAGGACAGGCTTGGTCAGGTCTCCTGTGCCTTGCATACCGTGTCTCTCTAGGCCCAGTTCGCCACTGCCACAATGCCCGGGCCAACTGGAGGATGCTGAAAGTTGTTCCTTAGGGTTGGGGATGGACAGTGGCAGTTTTCCTGACTCCTGTCAGCAGAGGGCACCACAGGACTAATGATTGTGTCAGTCCCAACTGTCACAATCGCTCCTTAAAAGAAAAAAAAAATTTTAAAAATTTCTAATTCAAATTCATTAATTTGAATGAATTAAGACGATACCAGACTGAAATGGTGGTGAATTTTAGGTACCGCACCAACTATGCTCAAAGCCTGTAGTCTATAAAAGCTACTAGGTCATGTGTCTTGTTTATTCTTCAGTCACCTTCGGCAGGTGTGAACACTGTCACAGGGCAGTGCAAGCAGGTGTGAACTCATGTCACAGTGTCTGGACTTCAAATTCTGGCTTCACCGACTTTGCACAGGTCACAAAACCTAGCCCCTGCTTCGGGGATGGTACTAGCGCTTGCCCTTGGAGCCGGGTATGAAATGGAGGAAAAGCTGCTGACAAAGCTCTCAGCACAGCGCTTTGCACGCAGCAAACACTCAGTAGATCCTGGCTCTGACTTTTCACTGATCTCTTCCAGGCTGCTGCGCTGACAGTGAAGGAAACGCTCAGGGTCTCCTAAGTAGCGAGGGGAAAGCCAACACAGCAGTCCTGCCTCTCTCAGCGCAGGGTCTCTGCCTGTCCCACCACCTGTGCCCAGCTGTCCCTGCTGCCAAACCTTCTGGCTGTGCTCATCTTCCCTGCTGGAGTGTTAGAAGGAAGCCGCCTTAAAATCTTTCCTCTTGAAATCCTATTCGTGACATTGAGCTGGTGAGTAACACTTTCTTTCTTTTAAGACAGGAACTTGCTCCATAGTTCAAGATTGGCCTTGACCTCACTGGGTAGGCCAGGCTGGCTTTGAACTCACAGGGATCCTCTTGCTTCAGCATCCCAGGTGCTGGGATTACAGGCGTCTGCCACCATGCCTGGCAGTAATTAATTTTCTTCATGAGGGGACAGTTAATTTTAGCTGAATATTATTCAGACCTCATAATCTAAGTCAGAGAGCTCACAAGTAGTTCACTGTCTAGTGCAGTCTAAGCTTTGTGTCATGACCTAAGTGACTTCAGGGCCAGAAGGTGTCATAGGATAGGGATAGTAGGCATTCCAGATTGGCTGGAGAGGAAGTCAGTACATGGGTCTGGCCAGATTTTTATTTTTTTACTTATTTGGTACTAAGGGTTGGACCCAGGGTCTTTGCATTGAACAGTACCCCAGCTCTTTTCTATTTTCTGTTTTGAGATAAGATCTTGCTAAACTTGCTCAGCTTGGGCCTTAACTTGGAATCCTCCTGCCTCAGCCTTCCAGAGTTCTGGGATTGTAGGTCTGAGCTACCACATCTGGCTGATATTTTGAGAAGTAAGAACTTCAGATTTTTGTGTCAAATATTGCAGTTGATAAATTCTGTCAGCTAATTTTAAGTTTTATTTTTAAAAAAGACCAAGGATGCCAAATAAAACACATTGGTAGGACCAACCCACTCTGGGTGCCAGGGCCAATCCCGGGATGAGTGCTGAGGACCATCCTTAGGTAGCGGGGTTGACTGGGGTTAATTATCTTATTTCCAGGGAATTTAGAGCATTGTCACCACTGTGGAGACCGTGGGCAAAGACAGTGAGTGTGTTCTGTTCCTTTGATCATTGCTACCTTTGCTGAGGTACCAGAAGCAGCAGTGTTCTTTCGGTGAAGAATCAGCACTGGAATCAGCACTGGAGGCCTCTGGATGGAGAATGCTCTGTACAGCATTGACTCCAGGGAAGCTGTGGCCCCTTTCCACCTTCTGCCTCTGACTTACCCAGTCCAGTTGGATGTTCACCCTGATAAGACCAGCAGTGAATCTGGGCTTAGTGATGCTTACCTGTAATCCCAGCATCGTGAGAGGCCGAGGCAGGCAGATTTCAAAGTAGAGTCCAGCCTGGGCAATTTAGTGAGAACCTATGTCAAACTAAAAAAAGGCTGGAGTTACAGCTCATTGAGAAGGCCTTGCCTGTGTTATTGGGTAGTTCCTTTAGAAGTGGTTCTCCAGTCAAAAGTATTCTGGGTCCTTTTTGCCTCAAACCAAAAACTGGCTGGGACAACCAAAAATGGCACTAAAAGTTGATTTGAAAAGTGCTGGGGAGCGGTAGGTATGGGAGAAACCAGCTCTGCAGAGTCAACTGGGCCAAACAAGAGTAAAAAAGGGTAAAAACAAACATACAAGTACACACCATGTCCGAGAAAGTGTAGGCTTTGAGGAAACTCACTGTAGTGAGCTTCGTGTGGTGTCTGGCCTTCGTTACACTGTCCACTTCCCACGGGAGCCCATGAGAAGGCCCGTGTGCGGAGCCCTGGAAACTGTCTGGCCCTGTCCTGAGATCTTGTCACTGACAGATCCCGCTCATTCCCCGGCCAGTGGCACACCTGCCACCTCCTATATCAGGTTTAGCCCCTGATATGGGGGCAAAAAAACCAGCAATGATGATTTCCCCTCTCAGAAACTTGCTGCGAAGGGGAGTTTCTGCTTTTTCCTCTTCCTCCTCCTCCCTCCTTGTCCTCCTTTTTATTTTTTTACTTTTTAATTTTTTATTTAAAGAAAAAAGAAACAAAACAAAACAGGAAAGGGATAGAAATCATACAGAATTTCAAAAAAAAAGTAACACTAAGAAATCACTAGTTGATAAATTATATATTGTCCTCTTAGGAATAGTTGTTCAAGTTACAAAATCAAAGCATAAAAAGTGGACAGAGAATCAGACATTGACAGTGCAAACTGTTCTGTTCAATGATCCAATGAAAACTCAGTAATATGGTTATCTATCTTACACACTTAAACTTACATACAGTTATATCCTTTAGAGCACTTTCTCTCCTTTTCATTTTTACCATATCTGTTACACATTTTGGATCTTACTACTCTTTCAGTTTTTATTATTTTTTACACTAAAAAGACAATGTGATATTTAAAAATGTAGCTTTCATTTATTTCACTTATGAAGATAGTCTCAAGTTGCCTCCATTTACCTATAAAAGCCTCAAGATCATCCTTTTTATAGCTGAGTAATATTTCATTGTATAAAAATACCACATCTTTTTCATCTACTCCGGTTGTTGGGCCTTTTGGTTGTTTCCAAGATTTAGCTATTACAAATTGTGCTGCTATAAACATGGGGTATATATATATTGTTATGACATGATCTTTTCAATTTTTCTGGGAAAATACCCAGGAGGGGTATTTGGATTGAATGGAACTTCTAATCCTAGTTTGTTAAGGAATCTCCATATTGATTTTGATTCTTTGGGGAAGATACCAAGAAGAGGGGTACCTGGGTCAAATGGGACCTCCAGTCCTAGTTTTTTGAGGAATCTACAAACTGATTTCCACAGTAGCTGCACCATCTACACTCCCACCAACAGTGGAGAAGCATTCCTTTTCCCCTGCATCCTCACCCACATTTGTTAGTTTGATGGCAGCCATTCTTTCTGTAGTGAGATGAAATCTCAGTGCTGTTTTAATTTGCATTTCTTGAATGATCAGTGATGGTGAACGCTTCTTCATGCCCATTTTTGGAGAGGGTCTTTGAATTGGGGGCTTAATGTTTTTCAATTCTTTCTATATTCTGGATACAATTCCTTTGTCTGAGGGATTGTCAACCAAAACTCTTTCTCATTCTGTGGGTTTTCTTTTCACTTTCTTGGTAATTTAAAGTGCAAAAAATTTTTAATAAGATGAAATCCCAGTTATTGATTCTTTGAAGTATTTCCTGTGTGGTTTGCATTTTGTTCATGAATTCTCTCCCTACCCCTATGTCTTCAAGATTTCTCTCTTCCTTCTTTTTGATGGTTTTTTTTTTTTTTTAAACAGGGTCTCACTCTGTAATTAAGGCTGGTTTGGACTCACTATGGAGCTCAGGTTGGGCTGAAACTCAGGGCAATTCTTTTGCCTCAGACTCCTGAGTGCTGAGATTATAGGTGTGTGCCTGATAAGCGGTGGCGGTGTGGCAGACTGTGGCCCTTCCAGGGGGAGAACCACCAGCAGCTCCTGAGATCCACGCCATGTTGAAACTTAGGACGCTAGGAAACTAAACAACTAGCCTGCATCCCTGCTAAGCAATAGTGAACCTACTGATGCACGGCCTAGAGTCAAACATCCCACCTCCCCTACCCCCCTTCTCCTGTCTGCCCCGTTAGTAAATGGGAACCAGAAATCTGAGCATCTCCTTGGAGGTTAACCATAGCAAATAAGGGGGACTTCCTTCTACCATCTCTTTGAAGGCAAATATTTTTTATTACTGTTTTTCTCTATCCTGATTAATGGTACTGCTCTATTCAATATTCTGTTTTGATAAGTTCTATAATGTTCAGTATTTCACCTCATTTCGATATACGTGATTGAAAGGACAACTATTATAAAGATAATGAAATATACTATGATACCTGTTACTGTTATCCCGGTAACCTGCTGTGAAGTTCTGTACCAATTTCACTGTACAATCTTAGTTGGCTTTATTCTGTCTTGTTCTATTGTATTTTACCACGGTCAAAATAAAGTTAAAAAAAAAATCTTCTCCAACACCTAGTTTTTAATTCGTATTTTCATTCATGCCTAAACAGTCAAGAATCTTTGAGCCAAGCACAGTGATTTATGTCTGTAATCCCAGCTACTTGTGAGGCTGAGGCAGGAGGATCAGAAGTTCAAGGCCAGCCTAGGTGATTTAGCAGGACTCTCAAAATAAAAAGGGCCAGGGATGTAGCTCTGTGGTAGAGCACTTCTCTAACATTCATGAAGCCATGGATTCAACTCCCAATAGTGCAAAAACAAATACCAGGAACATACAGGTATAGGCCACATGCTAAATCAAGCCAAGAAAAGAAGCGTGTTGTTGGGGTCTTCTGGGACACAGAAGCCAAGCTGGAGTTAGGTGTGCGTGATAGACAGGGCAGAGGAAGGTGTGGACAGTCTTGGGCAGCAGTGTAGGTCTGTCTATACCAAAGTCAGAGAAAAAAACAGAGGTCCACAGTGGGACAGCCTCCTACTGCAGTCAGGCTTCAGCGATTTGGTCTGGCTGGTGGGAGGCCCAGAGCAGAGAAATCCCACGGGGGTGGTGTGGCCTGCTCTGGGCCCTTCCTGCCCCCAGGGAAGGTGAAGGCTCAGGAAAAGTTCCTGGAGGCTAAAAGGTGGCACAGCTAGAGCTAAACTTCTTCATCCATTAAATGAAATATGCAAAGGTACACTTCTCCCACGGACTTACTCTAAGAACTGTGACAGAGACATATAAGGTGCCAGGTATCTGTCAAGCACTAATTAAATATTTTTAACTTGGAATGTATTATGAGATAAAATATATGTCATTTATCCAGTAATATTTATTTTTATTTATAGGGGCTTGTCTCTCTCTCTTTCTTTCTTTCTTTCTTTCTTTCTTTCTTTCTTTCTTTCTTTCTTTCTTTCTTTCTTTCTTTCTTTCCTCCAGCACAGTCTTACTATGTAGCCCAGGCTGACCTCAAACTCCCAGTGATCCTCCTGCTTCAGCCTCCCAAGCACTGGGTTAACAGGTGTGTGCCACTAAACCCAGCAGACAGAGGCCTTGGCTTTTTGAATGATATTGTTAGAATAAATCTGAGGAGTAGAACCAGAAAGGATGCATTCATGGACAATGACATTCTCCCACCATCCTGCTTATAAGCAAGCAGATTGAAGCCCAAGAAGCTCCAGGTGATTTGGCAGGGCAGATGACTCAGGAACAATCAATCATTGCTTTCTCTTGCTAACAATGGTCACATGACCCATTTAG